CTCTCTCTCTCTCTCTCTCTCTCTCTCTCTCTCTCTCTCTCTCTCTCTCTCTCTCTCTCTCTCTCTCTCTCTCTCTCTCCGCGAGAGCACACAGCGCGAGGAAATACGACGGGATAAAATCGCGCCCGAGCGCGAAGGGAGTGCGACGAGGGGGTGCGGTAGGCGAGGCACAAGATTATCTCGAAAAGTCAGAAACAGTCGGGTGAGCGTTCTGCAGACGTTATCATTCGTAGTTTTATCAGCCCCTGAATCGTCTGGAGTTAGTTTCTTCTTCTCCTACTGCACACTCTCTCGGCCGCCCATCCGAAAGAGAGAGGTGGTAGGAGGCCGCACATCCCCTCGCAGACTGACTACTGCAACTTCTATCTCTCTTCCCTTCTCTCTCTTTCGTGAACGACTCGTGTCTTCTCTTTATACACGAAAAAACTCGTGTGCGTGCGTGCGTGCGTACGTGCGTTTCGCTAGAAGCGGATATGATTTTCGACCCTCCCGTCATAACGTCGAATGGAAAAATTTATGAATCCCGAATTAGAGAGAAAAGGATATTTTTATACGAGAATAAAAAAAGTTTTGATTTCTAAAATGTCTTTGTTTCTAACGTTGTGACGGTTTGCGGCTCTCCTTATTCCGCCCTCGTAATTCTATGATGAAGAAACCGATAATCGGAAGAAGTGTACTCTCTTTTTTTATCTTCTCTGTCTTTCTATTTTTACGATCAATGTAGAAAAATAAAATAAAACTCGAAAAGCGCAATCTATGCATCGAATTCGCTCTCGCTCATCTTCTCTTTCGCCGTTCGCGCGCTTTATGCGGCTCGCGGTACGGCCGCGCGCGCGTATATATATGTGTGGGAGTGTGTCTGAAAGCGCGGTGTAGAGCGGCGGAATCCTATCTGCTTAAAAATCGTCTGCGTGCCGCTCACTTGGTTCCATTCGCGAGAAGAGGACGACGACGTCCGGCTTTAATGCATTCCGCGCGAGATGGAAACGACGACGACGACGACGACGACAACGACGACGATCGATCGATCTGACGAATGTTGCCGTCTATCCTCGTCCTCGTCGATTCTCGCACAGTTCGGTTCGATTCTTATCGCCAAAGTACGCAGGTGTGCCGCGTGATAAGTTTTCTCCGAAGATTGCACCCTCTCGTTTTTTGTATCGGTTTTCAGTAAAAAACAAACTGACTGCTGAAAGTCCAAAGATCGGGCAATTTTTTTTGTAAAACATTAAGAAAATGCGAAAAATAAGTTTTCACCGTGCAAAACTTGCGTTTTGCCGAAAATTCGCTCGCGGTTTTTGAAAATCTATCAAAAGACTTGACTCGAAACAATCCGATCGAGGTTGATCGCGTTTTTCCGAGAGTGTTCACGTTCGCGCTACGATACATCCCACATAGTGTACGTGGTAGAAGTTGGTGTACACACAGATCCGACGGTGCGGCACGTCGTCCTTACGCCGGTACGTCGCGTCCGGTACCGGCGCGCGATGCAATATGCACGCGATCCGAGGCTCGATAATAAAGGGAGCCTTATGCAGGCGAGTGTGTGTTTATGCGGGGCATATACAAGAGAGGGAAAAAGATAAAAGATAGAGAGAGAGGCAGAATGGGGGGTGGAAGAGGGAAGAGGGGGAAGGAGAGCGTTATCGGTATGCACAACGCTAAGGAGGAGGAGAAGAAGGAAGAAGAAGAAGAAGAAGAAGAGTAGTTTGGCGAGAGGAATGCTCACAATGCTGTAATTTCAGTGTTTGATCTTCCCATCTCTCTATGGGAATATTATGTGGGCACTCTCTCTCTGTCTCTCGTTCGCCCGATGTCCGATATATAGTATATGTGTGTGCATATGTACGTGTGTGTACACGTGGGGGAGCCGAGGGGAGGCCGGTTTTATTTCACCCGCATTATTATTCCGTTGGAAGATTGCGCGCCGATTCTGCGAGTCGGAAAGCTGGAGAGGCGAAGCCTCTCGCGAACCGCGCGCGCTTATTTATGGATGGATTCTCTTTTAACTTTCGGCAGGGTCGTGCGGCGGCGGCTCGCTCGTCGTCCTTCTGTCTCTCGTCCCTCCTCGCTTATCGAAGTGTCCTTACGCGCGTCGCCGTGATACGTCGGAAGAGGAGTTTCCTAACAGTTAGTCGTGTGTCTCGACATTATATTTAACTGGAACGTAGCGCGAAAAAAAGCACAGGCTGTTTTACTGACGTTTCGAAATACCAAGTACTTTCTCGCCCTTGGTGTTAATTAACACATTAGTAGAGTCGTTTAATTAATAAATATCACATATACTAAAACGTTAAACAGATATTATCGTTATTTTATTGTATTAAGAAATCAAGCAAATAGGAAGTTCTTCGGAGATAAAAAAACAAACATGTCATCGTTTTGACTCTCGTTAATTTTCACTTCGTGGAGAGAAAAAATTCGTGTTATCGTATTTTACCGACAAAAACTGTCAGAATGCGCGATAAAATCGATGATAAAGTATATTTTAACGATGGAGAAACGATTCTCAAAGTCAGTTGCTATCTGAAATTGATTTTAAAATTTTATATTAATGCAATGCCCAAACCTCTCGATTTAAGCAAAAAAAAAAAAAAAAAAAAAAAAAAAAAACCCAGAAATCATCGGTGTGTCATCAAATATAATTGTGCGAACAAAAGAATCGGTTCGTCNTTTTAAAATTTTATATTAATGCAATGCCCAAACCTCTCGATTTAAAAAAAAAAAAAAAAAAAAAAAAACAAAAAAAACCCAGACCGGAAGTGGCGGACGTCAAATATAATTGTGCGAACAAAAGAATCGGTTCGTCTGGACGACGAGCTGACGACGAGAGATCGCGCGGGCCTTTGAAATTTCCAGAAAGACTCGGAGATATCAGGCGGATATCTCAGCACACACCAGAGAATGTAATCATTCCATCATCCGGTCGCCCTCTGTTCTTTCCCCGTTTCTCTCCGTTTTCCCCCCTAAGTTCTCGAGAAGAACCCCTTTTATTGGTTATTCGCCCGATGGAAACTTTCCTCCCGTCACGCTCATTACCGCTATCTCCGTCCGGCTGACCATCATCATCAACTGATATCCTATCGACGGCAGACCTCGCGCGAACGGCGGTTCACTCCTGTTGTTTTTTTCCTTCCTGAAAAAGCGACGACGTCATCCGTCTCGGTTTCTCTTCTCCCGGTTTCTTCTTCTTAATTGTATATTGAGAGAGGCCGCGGCGATGAATAATCGCGGCTGAACTCGAGTTGCGACAACAATGGAGACTTTGGACGTGTTATTGGCGATAAATCTGCGATAAGCGTCTTGAGAGAGAGTTGCACTTTTATTCGAGAAGCATCGCAAACATTTCAAGTTAATTCGATATCAACTCGATATTTACTGGTTTCTGGACGCTTTTAATTCAAACTCGGTTGGATCGATGAACTTGATTATACGAAGAAAGACGCGAAAAATTGAATTATTTACGACATACAAAATGCGAGGCAATTGACGCTCGTGTTTTTGACCGCAAAAAAATACGAATCTATACGTACGGTTTTACGGCAGAGTGATGAGTCATTTAAATATTTTTGCAACAAAAATAAACATATGGCAATTTAGACAATTCCTATTTACCTTTTGTCGATAATACATCGTAATGTGTCTTGTTGTTTACGGTTTTGACTTCTATTCAAATACACACTCTGTTTCCCAGTCGCTTTATTCATCTTGTAAAGTGTTGGTCGGGTCTGCTTTTGCGACTTGAACATTCTTGACAGCACTGTGCGATGACTTCGACAACAGCTATTTGTAAGTGACGTTAGTATAATATCTTTCCTCTGCGATTAATTTTCATTATTTGGATTGTACATTAATTTTATAATTGTAGAATTGTATTGAGAAAGACCTAATACAAGGTCGAAAACGTTTTGCATTAAATTTCAATAAATTGATTCAACTACTCACACATCAGCATCTGTGTTTGCTTCAACAGCCATTGATAACGCCTTTGTTTGTTAAACATATGGCACATCTCTAAGAAAAAATATGACTTGTGACTTGCATATTCTAAAGTTTTGATAATAATTCGCGTTTGCGCGAATTTTTGTTACAAAGAAACAGTTTATTTCAATCGCTCGTAATAAATGAAGAACATTTGCATTTCAATATATTTTGCAAAGATCGTAGACTGCGCAAAAAGAAACGAATATTACGAAAAAAGATTCGCGCTTGTGTAACGCGGCACCAAATCCGGGAGAAAAATTTGAATATTTTACGTACTTACAATTAGTTTGATCCAAGTGGTGTATGAAAATATTGGACTCGCGCGTATGCGCGCAAATACAAGCGAGCGAGAAAGACAGCCGTTTGAAAAAAAAAAAAAAAAAAAAAACATCGCACAGATAACGATTATGAATCATGGAAATTACCTATTCTGAGCGTGGTTTTGCCTTATTGGTTTTTAGCGCGTGATGCACCGTTAAAAAGTGCCTTATCGCGTTCCAATCGTCGCAATAATCGCGCGTGATTTTCTCTTATCGGACAAGGAACAGCAGCATAATTTACGCGCTTCGCATTAATTTACATTCATTTAGATAAATTGGTATTTTTGCATATTATTAAAAAGTTTTTTTATTCTTTCCGGGTTATTATATTTTGTCACATTTCCTTCTTGTTTTTAAAATATATAATTTATTATCGCGCGGGTTTTGGATAACAAGAGATTTATTTTTACAAAATTTGGTTTGTTTACGCGAATATAGTAAATGTATATTACTTAAAATTTTGTAAATAATTTCAAGCAATATATTAACAAGTAATATGATAATAACAAACAATATTTTCTTTCTCTCTTGCTCTCTCTCTCTCTTTCTCTCTCTCTCTCTCTCTCTCTCTCGAATTAATCGATATTTTATCCAAGCAAAACCCATTAATTTCCGATAATATGACGATCTTGTAAGCCAAAATTTCGCGGCGGTTTATCGCCGGGCCAAAATCGATACCTCCATTGAAATTCATAATGTAACAAACCTGAGTTTACACCGCTTTCAGGGTTGTAAGCAGATCGCGTGCTCTGCACAACAAAACATGTGTTGAACACACACGTGGCTTTGTGAACTCATCAACTTTCCGCTGTAATCGTGCAAAAGCGGAGTAATATAATACACAAATAAATTTAATAAATAAACGGTGAATCCACGATATATAATTTGTATTTATACAACCGCAGCAACAGAGTACACAAGTTATACAATTACATAAATTCTCTCGTAATTAGCTAATTTTTTTTTCACAGATAAATGAGTAAAAATTTAAGTTAACTTTACAACTAACAAATTCCAAGAAAAAAAGAACAAAGAAGAGTAATAAAATGAAGTAATTGCGATAAAAAATTATCGCGAGACATTCGGCGCGGACAGGTTTCGCAAAGCGAACAATATATATTGCTATTTGTTTTTCCTCGATCTCTGGGTCCGCTTTTATCCCGCGGGAAAGTCATCTTTCCTCACCGTGTTATCTCGGTTCTCGAGTCCAATATCGGCGGCGGGCCGATACCCTCGCGGTGATCTCTGGGACAAGACAACACAATGCAATCTGCAAGCGCGTATAACGCGCGCGCGCGACACGATCGCAGTTGGAAAAAACAGCGCGCTTCATATATCGCGCACGCGCGCGGAAACAAAATTACGTATCGACGGACAATGTGCGATAACAAGCGAGCGGCACCTTTGCGTGATCGTTTTTTACGCTTTTAGTGACGATTCTAATGACGTCTTGACACTTGTCCGCTTATCACGACAGTGTTGCTCGATATCTCGCGAAAATAAAAAACACCGCTTTGCGCGGTATTTGTCAAACGAGAAAGAGGGATGACCGCTTTGTGTAACTATATGCCGGGAGAGTATCAAAAGCAGTGCGCAACTTATCCGCACCGATGAGAACCGCGTGAAAACACTCATTAGTCCTGATTCGCTCTGAAAAACATGTCGCGATTGTCGATACACAACTCTTTTATACCTTCTTTTTTTGCGAGAAAAAAGAACTGATAAAAGTTTGCAAACAATAGGGCCTAGGAAAAAAAACACGTTATTGGCAAACGTTTCTGTAATGTAGCAACCTTCGAGTTTTCACCGTTGAAAAATGAACAAAGGCATTTTATACTTTTAGGATTTTTTTATACAACTTGACTATATCTTTCGAATAGTTTGTAGTGTTTTTAGTTTTCCAAAAGCACGTATAAATTTACTAATATTATAAAAATTATTTTATATAGTTTTAAAAACTCATCTTGGTTTAATTCGCGACTTGAATGCGCGGATTTGCAGAGTAAACAATTAAAAAAAATATATATATATGTATATATCGATATATTAATAAGCGATATAATATTAAGTTATAAAGATATGGATTCAGTTATTGTTTTTTTTATTAAAGATCTAATCGGTCGAAGAGCAGCGTGATATTCGCGATTTGATAGGACGTAACGAGAAACGTCAAGGATCACGGAGAATGACGAGGACGATCGACGTGTCCCAGGACGTGCCAGGTTGTGTCGGTGGTATTCGCAAGCGGCCACCTGTTGACATCGTGGGGTGGGGGAGCGTGAAGCGGCGGCAACGGGGGAGGCGTGCGTGGCACGGGCGGTATGGGGCTATAGGGAAGTGTAACGGGTGCGGTGGTGTTGGTGCCCTGGCGCAAGGGTGCTCGTTCATTATCTGCCGTTCTGAAAGCCAACGGCTGAAAAGCCCCGAACCCGCCATATTCCGCCGCGTGCGCTGCGAAAAAGCAGCGTCGTTCTTGCGCGCTCTTCTTTCGCACAATTTGCACATTCCGCGAAAAGTTGTGAAAACTAGTGTGGAATTATTACATAAATGTTTTCAACTCTTTTATCTTTTCTTTCGAAGCGTTTGATTGTTCATATAAATTCCTTATTTTTTCATTCTATATACCTCAATATTTCAGTACTTTAAATATTTTTTTTTTATTACTTGATAATATTAAGTATATTTATTTTTTACAATCTGTTTATTGTACATTTAAACTTGTATAATAATTTGCGTTTTGGATTTTAGCATATTTTATTGATATTTTCTTTATGTCGTGAATATTATTTATTTATATTTATATTGTGTGCGCGCGTGAAAATCTCGATTTCTCGAATTCGAGCGGCTTATCGGCGTCGCGACGCATCGCATTGCGAGGTTTTGCGGCTTCGCCGCGGCTATACAGACGCGGTCGCATAATGGCGTCGCTCTATTGACAGCTCGCTGTAAAGATCCGAAATCGCGATAGCGACCGCGAACGTGACCGAGGCGCGTTTTCACTACGGCGCGCTTTACGTTACTACATTTCCGAAGAAATCCCGACGGAAAGATATCGGCCCGGGTCTCGCGCACTCACCGCCGATAACGATGACGTTAAAAGCTCCATCGCGAATAAATATATCGATATTGATACACTCTACGAGTGTATATATATATATATATATCGACTGTGTAAGAATTAGAATAGAATTTTCAACGTGTAAATCAGATTGAGATAAAAATATCGAGAAATGTCGGAGAATTGCGCTGAAAAAAATCTCAGCAGAATTGATTAAATGGAATTTGCTCGCGAATTCGCAGCTTTGCGCGCGTGAGAGTTAACGATACATAATTTTTTTTTGAAGTACATTTATTGTATGTATAAAGAAATGTGCGTGCGCGCGATTATTATAGTTTGCCGAACATAATCATCCGCTTGTGCGCGATACGAGCGCGTCACTTGTGTCGAATATGCGCTCGGATCTTATCGTGACGCGGTTGTTGCTGCTGCTGCGGTTTAAATACGCGCCGAGTTTAAATCATAGCATAATGTTCATCATCACTCGACGCGGACGTGCTTAAATTGCGGAATATGTGCGGTGAGTGCCCTTGCGGAATAAATTTGTTGACGATTGGTTATCGCTTCGCCTTGCATTCTTCGGCGGAATCTTTATCAGCCGTCGGCGCATGGGCGTCGCAACTGAGAAATCAGAGAGAAGTTCTTTATGATTATTTACGTTTTATGAAGGAGAAAGAAAGAGAGGAAATGCACGATTTATCGCTAAATAAAAAAACTTGATTATTATTACAGTAGTGGTTTAGCGATTCCACATTTCGTGAAACGTATTAAAACTGCGTACAGAAAATTGAAATATCTTTCATTGCTTGTGTATATTATTTACAATATGTTTTACACATTTACAAGTTTGTGTAAAACTCTATTCTTTTGCTGCGCTTTCTAAACGACAAGAAGAAACGTTTTAATTTATCAGTTCTGTCTGTTTTCTTTCTCTCTCTCTCTCTCTCTCTTTCTCTTGTGCGAAGATACATTCGCATTTTCTGTAGCTTCGCAAAGCCCATGAGTCGATGTCGTCGAGATTTCTCTTTCTCTCGATGGCACGTCAATGGTACACGAACGGCGAAAGAGGTGGAGGAGGAGAAGGAAACAGATGATGAAACGTCGTTCGAAACCGGCGATCTCTCGTTCGTCTCGACGGCTGTTCAAAGGATGAGCGTTATCGAACTGATAACGCGTGTGCGCACGCGCGTTTCTCTTCGTTGCAGCTTCCGAGAGAATCTTTCTTCTTCTCTTTCACTCGAGCGTTCGACGAGAATAGAAGGTAGTGCCTTGTTTAAGTTGCAAATGTGCTCATAATCCGGGATAACATTGCTGACGCTAAATCAAAGTACATTAATTGTTTTTTGTTATTTAAATCTGTTTTAAACGTAAAACAAGTTTTCTCTCAAAGTAGTGAAAGATAATTAATTTATAACTTTTAAATTTAA